TCGCGTATGTCATTTACTACGCACATTAATAACGTTCGTAATAGAGCCGCTTTCGTCTCCGGCCGGTTACACAATTTAACTAACGCTAAAAGTAAAATGCCCTTTAAGTGTATGTGCCTAAAAGGCACCAATTATTATTATATAAGACCTGCGTACAACCTATTATGTCCTACGCATGCATGACCTTCGCCCATACGCACCCTACTCGCTTGTACAAGTTGCAAATAGTACAAAATAAGTTCATCCGCCGCGCAATCGGTGCGCAGTGGTATCAACGCAACGTCGACCTGCAAAGCGATTGCAGACTCCCGACAATTCGCGAATATTTTAAAGACCTGACCAAACGGTTCTTCGATAGAGCCGAACATCATCCCAACCCTCTGGTGGTAAGCGCAGCAAATTACCAACCCGACACAAACGCGAACGTCAACAAGCGTCGCCCGCGAAATGTCCTCATCGACCCGGTCGAGGAAGGGGACTTAGATACGTCGGACCCACCACCGGGGGTCCCGCCGGATAACACAGTACCCACAGCTAGTGCAACAACAAACACAATAGTTCGCCCTCGCCTCCGAGCACGGCGAGACCAACACAATGCGTACACAAGGTACACCCGCGATCCGGGGTGGTTCTCACCGCTCCCAGCCACCGATTAGCTAATTGACAGTCGACGCACATCTTAATGCACAGTCGACGGCCATCGGGGTTTCGGTCCGAACCGCGACCTCGATGGCCCTTAGACACACCATAGTTAAACGCACGTATGAGCACATGCGCGGCCCTTTTTTTTTTTTTCTTTACATGGGGAAATCCATTATGGATACTTGGCTCTCCGGTAAGAACCAAGTTATGTCGGACTCGCCCCGACTAAAACCCCATGGTGGTCGCTATCTGCTGATGAGGGGTCACGGGATCTCCATTCGGAACACTACCGCGGCCCCTCCTTAGCTATGATAGCCCTTTCGGGGACGGTATTACGCCAGCCCTAGCACCTCCTGTAGGGTCTTTACTGGGCAATTAAGGGATTTACCCCAATCGTGACCCCTGAGGCCCCATTTCTGGCAGGGGAGCACCATTTCCGTTTGGAGTGCCGTGACGAGGCGCATAGATGCGTCGCTGGCCCCGTCTCCGAGTGGGATCAGTTCTTTCTCGATCCCACTCAGCAGCCTCTTTCTGGACCATAACAGTCTCACAGAAAGACGCTACGGCACTCCATGCCGGTTCTCCTCTCATCATCGCCGAAACGACTGCTGGCAGACTGAGATTTAGCCCAATGTGCCCCACCAGGATACTCCGCTCCGCATTCCAGGCGGGGCACACCGCCAAGGTATGCGTTGCGGAGTCTTCGTCGTTTCCACCACAGTGGAAACAAACCGCCGTCGACTCACGTCCAATCTTCCACAGATAATCACTAAAGCAACCATGCCCTGTGATTATCTGTGTTAGCCTGTAGGTGAGTCTACCCTCTCTCCACTGCATCCAGGTGTCGAAGACCGGCAGGAAGGCTTCAATGACACGCTTATGCGCGTATTGCTTTTGGCTGAGCCGAGAGCGCCACGTCGCCAAAGCTCTCCGCTGTTCCTGCCGTTTGATGGATTCAAACGCCTCTTCTGGCTCACTGCCACCACTCTGACGAAGGGCGCGTTTTCGGTGGTACACCCGCGCATCCATTTCCGCCAGTATATCCAGGGGTGGGAAGCGAGCCAAGACTGTTGCCGCCTCGAATGATACATGCGCGGCCATACCCACAGCGGCGGGCCCAAGCCCGTGGGTTCTGGCTAGCCTACCAGTTCTGCGTCAGATGAAGCTTTAATAGTCTCGGGACTGAAAGCAAAAACATTAGTTAATACAAGACACAAGAAGTAATAAAATAGGTAATCAATAAAAATGATCAACTTCATTTAAAAAGATATCTTACAGTAACCAGTCAGTATGTAGCTATTAAAGCATATTATAAGCAGTGATCCCAAATAATAATGTTTTATTTCTGATCATTGATTATATTTGTTTCCGTGCCTTCGCTTTATTGAACTCCTCAATAACTTCAGTGAAATATTTTTTTTAATGATCTAACCTACTGGTAATAATAATTAACTATTTCTTTATTTTTACTAATTAATTTTTTGCCGATTGATTGTCTCTATGGATATGGATATCTATATTATGTAATGATATATCAAAACGAATATATAAATAATTAAAACAGAATAAATATTTAAAGAATGTATAAAGAAAAAAGAAATATATTTAAGCGAATTATATCTATGTATATAATTCGTATAAAAAAAATTTTCCAAATCCATATCCTTATATGTCAATACGAATACGAGGACAATAATACATAATTTTGGATGTTATGAATGTTTATTAAGTCTAATTTAAATTTCACATGCAAAATTCTGATAAAATAAACATAAACGCTATAAATGTGAAGTGGAAGGTTTAAGTAAGGCAAAATTGGATCAACTTTTTAAACTAGGGGCTTCATTCAGTTTTGCCGCCCCGGGCCTCTGAAGGCCTTATTCCGCCACTGGTAGTAAATTAGATGAAACCGTCTGTTCATACAGCGTGTCGTTACCACCGCGACAATAAATGAACACACATATAGGGGATAACTTTTTAAAATTGTATTAAACATTTACATTCTTTAAACATCAATATTTTCAGAGTTATAAAATTTTCCAAAACAAACAATTTTAGAACACCCTTACGTATAAAACTGTAACGTAAAGTTCATTTGTAAAGGTCACAAAGCATATGAATGGGTTGAATGAATTTAAAAGAGACAAAACATACTGTTAGAAGGAGAGGCTTGTATTGCGGTGCTGTGGCAAGGAATGAAAAAGTCTCTGAATGTATGAATCAGTCAGATGTAGTTGTATAGGTGTTACAAATTTTGTTTCTTTTTTACTAAATAGTTTGTTTGAAAAATATTTTTTTTTAATTAAGGATTTTTTAACGTTAATATTTTTTTATGATTATTGGCAAGTAGCGTTAGACGTGTGTTCATTTATTGTCGCGATGGTAACGACACGCTGCATAATAATAAAAAGGTTTCAATGTGTATTACGTAATAAATAATTATGTTATAAACAAAACGTGTCGCAAAGCAAAACACTTGATATGACACTTGAATCCGATTCCGGCTAAAGCTCGATAAGAATTTGACTATGAAAGTTTAAACAAACTTCGACGACGCAGCTAACAGGGACCTACTTGGAGCATAACAATAAAAAATCTGATGTTGCATTGTGCATTCTACTACTTTGCAGTCGTTAAAAAAGTATGGTTGTCATGTATTTATATATAATTTTTTTCTACAATACTTATCTTATACTTATCGTAAGTTGGAGTACTTCAAATTAAGCTGTGATTTATTCTAACTATATTTTAAATAATTTTTAAATTTTTATTTATTTATTTATTTATTTATTTATTTATTTATTTATTGCACATCCATTAAGTAACAAAAAGGTGTTAGGGTTAGTAAAATAGTTCTTTATGGACCCTGTTTATAGGGCATAGTACAAACAAATCCATTCGGAGAGAGCAAGAGTATCACTTGGTAATTTCATTGGGTACTTGTATATGTAGTTGGTATGTTGAGAGGCTATTTATTTTTAGAGGTAAATTTATAGTTTTTAATTTATATTGTACAGGAATTTCACTGCGCTTTTGATAAAGCCAAGGATTTTTTCGAACAAATTTACATATTTCATATATAAACTTGGTAAGGTAAGTATATTTAGCTTTTTAAAGTGGGGTTTACAGCTATCTGTTTGATTTATATTAACTAGGATTCTAATAAGCTTTTTTTGTAGAGTAAAAATTGCAGGAGCACCTGTGCTATTCCCCCAGAGAATCAATCCGTAGTTAAGCCATGCAAAAGAATAGGCATAGTATACTGCAAGGGCAGTTTTCAAGTCAGTAGATTTTTTAATTTCATTGAGTGCATATGTGAAACGCGATATTTTACTACTTATTTTTTGTGTATATTTTTTTTCCAATTGATGTGTGTATCTATGTCTATTCCTAGTAATGTAAATTCTCTTGTAACTTCAAGTTGTATATCTCTGTAGAAAAAGTTGAAATCTAAGGGATTTTTTTGGCGCGGGTGAAAGATCATAATTTTAGTTTTTGAGAAGTTTAATTCTAAATTGTGCTTGCTCATCCATTCGGTAATGCGGTCTAATGTGGAGGTGATCTTATTACTTAAATGGACACTATTTTCAGCCGGTATTAAAATTGATATATCGTCTGCAAACAAAACGCAATGGTCAGCTGTAATTTTGGGGAGATCGTTTATATATATCAGAAATAGCAAACACCCAAGCACACTGCCTTGAGGTATAGATGAGTTTAAGGTCGTACTATTTGAGTGGACGTGTTCAAATTCGTTTTTTAGTTCATCAAAATGGTTAACTAGTTGTGTCTAAATGCTGTCCTGGTAGCATTACCATAGTACTGTAGAGTTGTTGACAGTAGTTTATGCCCGGTTCTTTTTGCTTACGACGTTATGAGCCACTTAAAATTTGAAGTGACTCTAGTGCACTTTATCCTTTTTGTTGTGTAAATTTAAAATTTCAGTTCAGTTTGCTTTTGTTAGTGTATTAATGGTTGTGCATTTATAAGCTATTATGTAGTTTAAAATATTTTAAAACAGTTTATTTTTTCTATTGATTAAATATTTTTAAAGTAAGAAACCGAATCTTTGTTTACAGGTAATATTTAAATAATGAATGTTCTCTACATTTTTCAAATTATTTTATAATAATTTTTATCTGTATTTTATTGAGTTTTTAGGAGTAAAATAAAAGTTTGTATAGGTGGTCTGTGCTAGATATGTAGGTATTATATTTTTTAAGAGATAATTTATCTGTTAATCTTTATTAAATAATTAAAAAATAAATAATGATATAAAATTGTGGTTGCTATTTTCTATGATTTTTGACGCCGTATCTCGGTCACTTCAGTCAGTGTCAAAATTGATGAATTCAAAGATGAAGTTTATTGTATATGAAGTGGCGAAAATACGAAGGGCTCTTTTGAATGCTGTGAGAGTCGGTAAAATGTGCACGTGCCTGTGTGTTTTGATATTTCTTTTACCAAATGTAATAAGCTAATTAAATCGATAAGACCTTGATGATGTCACTCTGCTTCCCCGGGTTCTTTGATATTTATTTTATGGAAAGAAGGGGGCAAACGGGCAGGAGGCTCACCTGATGGAAAGTGATCGCCGCATCCCATGAACATCCGGGACACCGGAGAGGGCTTTGCAAATGCCTTACCCGCCTTTTTGGAGAGAATACGGGCTTTGAATCGAGTCGGATGTGAATGTTTCGATTTCAGATTGTATTCACGGCCCTGTCGGTCACGTCGGGAGTTCTCCTCGCGCTGGAATATGAACGGAGGGAAGCGTTGCTGCCTTCGGGCAACACCGCTCACCCTACGCAAATGGTCATCGGCTTTGAGTTCAAGGTCATATCAATAAAGGCGATGCTGGCAATAGTCTTCGTTGTTTCCGTTCTCGCGTCGATCTTCTCAGTCCTTCTTCTTATCGGCATTGCTAAGGTATGGCCCTCATGTATTTATTGACGTGATACTGTATTGGTAACTTTTTCTTTAGAGTAAGTGGTAGAACAACAAACAAACGAGGCAACAAACGAACCAGGTAATGCTTATTGAATGATGTTTTCGCTTTCGATTAAAGCTTGGTCTAACGCCGAGCTAGAGAATGGCCTGATTTCACGAGCTGGATATGACACTGTATTTTGGGTGGGCGCATGTTTTTTTTTTATGTGGTCATGATTGCGTTGTCTAGCGAGGGAGATATGTCGATACTTACGTATTACCACCGCAGCAGAATAAGTTGCGGCTATGCCGATATAGAGGAATCTCGTTGTTCACACGCGCACGCAGTTATCTTAGGTTAGGCTTTGATTTTAAATGAACCATAGAGATTAAAATTCGTAGAAAAAGTACGAATGTAAAATATAGGTCATTATGGCCATACGTCTGGTACTCCTTCGGTGGCGTCACGGCAACCTCACATACCGGGCGACGAATGTTCTCTTGCTGGAGGCATTTCTGCGAGAGGTCGAGGGGTGACGTCCTTGCAATCTCTTATTTAGACCGTGGTAGGGCCACGCAATAGTGTTTGCTGTGGCACGAATGGGCAAGTCCGTCCGGGTTAGTACCACGACCTCACAGAAGACCGGCGTGAAGTAGAAGTGTTACACTTCTGCGTTTCGTCTGGTGAGTAAGGTAGCCGGGGCCCACTTTTATTAAGAGGTGGCAAAGCATCTGTAACCCTACGGGTGTTGCAAATGTCCATGGGCGGCGGTTATCACTTAACATCAGGTGAATCGCCTGATCGTTTGCCACTTGACTCATAAAAAAAATTCTGCGAGGAAATAATCACCCGGAAGGAAGCCGCGGAGAGAGAAAGGGAGGCAGCTGCCTTCCCGGTGGCAACGCATCTGCAGCCCTACCTACGGGTACGGGTGTTGCAATTGTCCAGTCCAAAGAAGCTGACTACAGCTACTACTGCGAGCGCTTGTTACGTAAAAAAAAACCGGACAAATGCGAGTCGGATTCGCGCAAAATCGCAAAATCATTCACATGTTGCATGGGAGCGCCACTTAAATATTTTTTTTATTCTGTTTTTTAGTGTCTGTTGTTATAGCGACAACAGAAATACATCGTGAGCAGACGGTTCACCTGATGTTAAGTGAACACCGCCGCCCATGGACATCTGCCACACCCGCGGGTTACAGATGCGTTGACAACCTTTTGAAAATTGGGCTCCGGCTACCTCACTCACCAGACGAAACGCGAAAGTATGTCATACTTCCACTTTACGCTGGTATTCTGTGAGGTCGTGGTACTTATCCGGACGGGCCTGCCCATTCGTGCAACAGCCAAAGCTGCTGCGTGGCCCTACCACCGTTAGAGAGACAGATCATGAGATACAGCCTGTTGACAGACGGACAGACAGACAGCGGAGCTTTAGTAACAGGGTCCCGGTTTACCCTTTCGGTACGGAACCCTAATAATGTTATTGTGCACCTATATTTATACCTTTCGTGTCTTTCGGTGAGCGATCTGGCACAAAGTTCGATCTCAACGGGTGGTGGTGACCATCGTACGGTGACCCAACCGCCCGTTGTCCGCCTTCGCTCGGGAAGGTCATTTTTGAGTTGCCGTTCAGTTCTCGTTGTTCGATAATATTACAATTTTTTTTCAGAATCGACCCGGCCTCCTGCTTAGCTATTTCGCCTTCGGTATAATGACCACCATAATCATGCAGCTCGGCTGTTTGCTGTTGATGTTACAGAACTTCTGGTACATATCCCTGCTATGGTTTGGGGCCACGCGTAAGTAACTAGTCCCGTATGAATGAATGAATGAATGAATGAATGAATGCCTTTATTGTCTAAAAAGCGATCTCTTCCAGACAAACTTGTGGCTAAATGTATAATATTTTGGACAATGGTAGGTGGTACAAATGACAAACTTACATACTAAAATCTAAATAAACTAAACGAATATATTACATTTAGTATAATAATGATAAATTAATATGTACCAAATAATAAGATACCATAGACATACATAATACTAAACATATACAATAACTTACAAAACTATATACCGGGCGAAAAAAAGTTAAAAAGAAAAAAAGAGTTGATCAGTAAGGTGTACTTTTTGTCATACAAGTTTCGCTTTTGACTCTAAATGCAGTCGGCTTTTATAAGAAAACGCTCAAGTGACTTGTTACCGTCTACCCGAAAACCTTTAATAACGTAATCTTGTTTTTGTCGTGTCTTTCCAATAAACATTTTTTCTTTCTTTCTTTGTCATGAACTATCGGCTTACTTCGGCTGTTGCACGAATTGGCAGGCTCGTCCGAGAAACTACCGCAGCCTAGCAGAAGATCGGCGTGAAGTGGAAATGTAATTCTTATGCCTTTCGTCTCGCAAGCGAGGTAGCCGGGGACCACTTTTTTATATGAAAAGTTGCTAAACGGACAGACGGTTCACCTGACGTTAAGTGAATACCGCCGCCCGTGGACATCTGCCACACCCGAGGGTTACAGATGCGTTGACAACCTTTTGAAAATTGGGCTCCGGCTACCTCACTCGCCAGACGAAACGCGAAAGTATTTGTCACACTTCCACTTTACGCCGGTCCTCTGTGAGGCCGCGGTACTAATTCGGACGGGCCTGCCCATTCGTGCAACAGCCGAGGCTGTTGCACGTTGCTGTGTAGCCCTACCACCGTTAAATCTTTTAAAAGGTGGCAACAGATCTACAACTCTGCCCTACGGGTGTTGCAAACCTCCATGCTTGCTACCTTCTCGAGTAAAAGTGATAAATACGCGAATAAAATCACTGCATACTATAAAACACTGCTCGTATATATGCTTGGATCTTTAAAACTACGCAACGGATCTTTATGCGTTTTATTTTTACTAAATAGTGTGATTCAAGAGGGGGCGAATTCCGCGCGAATCCGGGGCGGGTCGCTGGTTAGTGATAAACGCGCCAAAACTCGTGACAAACATTCAATACAACCGCATCTGTTTGTTTACAGTGGTCTACATACATTATCTCTTCGTCGTGCACACAGTCTACGAGATGATGCAAAGGGGGAAGCAAATCGGTCTAAACAGAGACGAAATGCACGAAGAGCTATTGAATTGATAAAAAAACTTTGCATTCAAGACTTTGCCCCGTACCTATATTCAACGGTCGGCCGTTAGTTACATAGCTTCGTAACTTTCATAACGACTGGTAGATAAAAGGCGTGTACTCCCGGTTCCTATATTACCGAAACGCGTCGTTTTCCTTACGATGCCGTTGCCATTACCTACGGAAAGTGAGTCACTAGCGTTCCTTTAATCTACAAGTCGTTATGAAAGTTAGGAAGCTATGTAACTAACGGCCGTCCGTTGAATATAGGAACCGGGCATATGTCATAACTATTATACAACGCAGCGTTACTACCGCGACCATAAATTAACACACATAGAGGATAACTTTTTAAAATTGCACGCGAAATACATTTACTTTCTTTAAAAATAATCAACACACATACAGTAACTTTTTAAAATTGTATAAATAATTACGTTTTTTAAACATCAATATTTACTGAGCTATTAAATTTGAAAGAGATAAGACATACTGTTAGAAGGAGAGACCTGTAATGCGACGTTGTGGCAACGAATGAATGAGTCTCAGAATGTATGAAATGAAGAAATTTTGTTTCTTTTTTATTTAATTAGTTGGTTTGAAATTATATATTTTTTTATTTTTATGGATTAATTTATGACTATTGGCAAGTAGCGTTAGAAGTGTGTTTATTTAAGGTCGCGGTCGTAACAGCATGTTCTAAATATGTGCTAAGAAAAACTCCTCAAATGCTTAATATTTTTATAAGCCTTTTGTATTATTATTTTTAGACTCTATGATCTTGGGGCTCTGACGCTGCGATCATACCCCAGTTGCGTTCGCTAATGATTTTTTTTTGACGTGCAAAATTCAGTTTTCGTCGTTTCGTTTAAGTCTATATAATCTCGTTGAAACAGAGATAGTGTTGGGAGGAAAATGATAAGTTTTAAGTAACATTTCTTTTTTTGATTTGAACAGAAGCGTGGTTCGAGTTTTTTTTATTTGGAAACGAGAAGAGATCATATTATAAGCATTTATTTGGGTTTGACGCTCATTTAGTGAATAGATAGATTATGATATTGCGTTAAGAACGCCAATGATGCCCGAAATTCGATTCGACCAGTTATTGCTATTTTTATTGACTCGGTGATTACAATAAGATTAGTTCCACGATCTGTTAACTTCAATACTGTAAATAAATAATTTTTCTATCAGTGAATTTTAAACTAGCTTGCTCACCCTGCTTCCTACGGGTAGATAAATAGTAAGTTTCATAAAACATTCACATTATAAATATAACGACAGTCGTTGGTTTGTAAATAATATTTCAGAAACACCAAAATGGCGTTGCCTTGGAAAAGGTGTATGTTTATCTAACCAGCAGAGCTAAATTTTAGTGGCCTGTAATAATGGTACTTATCTATTAATCCATTTCAACGGACACTAATATACAATTAGATTGTTCTTCCTATCTCTATACTTCATGCGCTTTAAATAGAGAAAAACTGCCATTACAAGGGTTTCCAACATATGCTTCAATTTTTTTATATATAAAGTAAAGTATACAGAAAGGTACATATTTTATAAAACTACATACGTCTTTATAAAACTACTTTTGAAAGTGAGGAATTTATATTTTGTTATCAATCTGGTGTTGCAAAATAAAAATTACTCCCTCAAGTTAAATACATATATAGTATTTTTCCAACAGGATTGACTGTATTTCGAAAATATGGTACAATATTATATATATTATAGTGTGGTTGGCAATCCTAGTGACGGCATGATTATCCCTTGTTATATTTTTTTGTTTCTTTTTTATTTCTTTCTTCAAACTTTCGTAATTAAAAAGGATCAGTTGATTTTTAAATAAAAGATTATGAACGTATCACTTATATCATTATTATACATTATTAACTAATAACATTTTTAAACTTCTCAATATAATTTATGAAAACATCACAGTATAACGACTCCAATAATTGTTAAACTATTAAATAGATCGGAAACAATTACCACAACAAAAACATTTTACACAATCAAGAGTTACATTTATTTCTTTAAATAAACTTAATTACATTTATTTCTTTCTAAGGTTCCTTTATTTATTCTCTGTAACATTTAATTGATTCCAGGCAATGTATAAAACGGGTTAATCGACTCACCCCTTACTGTAACTCACCGATTTATCTGCCCTTCATCGATTTGTGGTAGTGTTTAGCTCGTTTAGATCGCCTTAACTCAACTTTAAGGCCCGGCCTCACATAATGTCTATGCAATGACTAAAATATGCCGGCCTATCTCATACATGGCAGCGTTTTAACGAGATTATCGTTGGCGACTGTACAATCAGTTGCCCACTTTGCTGAAGCGTAAAAAACTGTTCACATGATGTTAACACGAATTACACTACCTCCCTGTTATTCAACTGCTTGTAGAAACTGTTGCTGAGTAGAATCGCGTAAACGTTTAAACCTGAAAGAGATTTGAATAAGTTGTTCACAGTTTACATATACATTGAGGTATTGATGACTCGATGGCGCTGTTGCTAAGCTATTTCTTCGGCGTCGAGGGTCGTGGGTTCGATTCCCAGACGGGACGAGTATTTGTGTGACCCACAAATAATTGTCCTGGTGTTTGTTCCCAAGAAGGGATGACGTCAGGTAGGCGTCTAGGTGGCACCTAGGTGTGATAAGGGCAGGAGGATGATGATATACAGTGAGGTACAAACGCCCCGGCATATGACATTTTCCACCAGCCACCCAGAAAGTGGGAAAAATAAATGAAGCCACCATTAAACTATGTAATTTATGGCATACGTTGATAGATGGACATTTCCATGGGTGGCGGTTATAACTTAACATCAAAATTCACTCATGATTTTTTTCTTAAAGCACCGAAAGTAAAAGTTCAAAAACTGCCTTCAAAATATAAATAAATACACAAATGTACATAGTTGTATAATTATATGAGATTAAGTTATTAACCCGTATTATATGGGTATCAAACAAATCACGTTAATCAATTTTATCTTCAAAATGTTTATCACAAATACAAAATTACATATTTGGAAAAAAAGTAGTGTCGCTAAGAATAAATAAGTAGAGTGCTAGAAAGAGATTCCAAAATCTTTTTAAGTGTAATCGTATGAATAATACTCACAAATATAGAAGACCTCCACGGTGATGGTGCCGGCATCGTAGTGCGGTGCGTTGAGGAAGAACGTGAACAGAGAGAGGAAGAAGAAGACAGACCACATAAAGAAGTACGCACGAACAACACTAGCGCGCTCCTGAAGAATTAATAACGATCGCATTGAAGGAAAACATCCTTATGATAACTTAGGGAGCGTCCATAAATTACGTGAGGTGTTTTTTTTTTTTAATTTTTGTCCCTCCCCCCCCTCCCCCCCCCTGGTGAGATGTCGTGAGATTTTATTCAACCCCCTCCCCCCACCCCCCAATCTCACGTTTTTCAAGATGTGGGTTTCTTACGTAAACGCGTTGGATTGTTATTGTAAAATGAAAAAAAAAAAAATTGCTTCTTGCTTTTATTTACGAATAATTAAGACTAGTAATCAATATTGCTGAGAGTTTAATTATAAGTGTAATAAAAATTTAACAATAGAATACTTAAATCGTAACTACAGTGATTAAAAAAAGAATATCTACTCTAATTCAATCCATGCACGTTCTCAAGAAATTATTTTCTTTCGAACGAATTAGTGAATGATCTTAATCCTATTAGGCGATTATGCTCAAGATTAAATCTTAAGCATGTACAATCTGGACTAAATGGACTAAAATAGTATAATTTTTTTTGTTACAATCAGAAAAAAAATTGCGTGATATTTGCCAAGACTCCCCCTCTCTCCAACGTAAGATTAGATGAGACTCGACCCCCTCCCCCCCTTAAACACCTCACGTAATTTATGGACGCCCCATTAAACATAAAAACATATTTTTGCATATTTGAGATATATGGGATAGAACTCTACACTGAGGTACTGTGCCCTTAACCGAGCAACAGGCCTATTGTTCAACTATGGTAGGGCCACGCAACGGCCTTCCCTGTTGCACGAATGGGCAGGTCCGTCCGGGGCAGTACCACGACCTCACAGAATACCGTGAAGTTGAAGTATTACATTTCTGCGTTTTGTCTGACGAGTGAGATTGCCGGGGCCCACGTTGTTAAAAGGTGGCAACGCATCTGCGACCTTACGGGTGTTACAACGTCCATGGGCTACGGTTATCCTTACCTTCTCAAATTAAAAAAAGGTAAGGAGGGGAAAAGTCTACTTTAATTAAGGTGAGTGTTTTGAATCAATGAGTGTTTTCGGATTTTGAAAACCATTAATACAGTCTGATAAAATGTGACAAACGCTTAATTTTTTAGGTGGTCCACTAAAGTTAGGGAACGATGCTGTTAAACGGGCATTAGTGACACAGAAATAGAAAGAAGTAGAGACTAAAAATCCTCATTTTTTAGGTGGTTCGTTAAAGTTAGGGAACGATGCTGTTAAACGGGCATTAGTAACATAGAAATAGAAAGAAGTAGAGACTAAAAACCTCACCGTCACAACGCCATACACGAACACTACGTCGAAGCAAAACTTGACAAGGAACATGAGAGCCAGGATGATGGACATCACGTACAACCCCGTCATGGCCGCCTCTTTGTTCAAATCTCTCTCTTCGAATGCCGCCTCTTGCAGTGGCTCTAGCGTCGCGGCCGTGACCGTCATTATTATAGTTATTGTGAAGGACATAACCTAAAAAAGTGGAATGTAAAATCATTAATACATTTATAACTCACAATTGTTGCTATTGACTGCTCGTCTGGTCGTGTGGAGGTGTTTACATACGTAAATTGTTCTGAGGCTAGAATTGATTTAAATAATTTAATTAACTCAGGGTCCGCCAGTCTTTGTACATTATTTCTCAAGTGTTTTTGTCGTAACGCCATAACATCCACAATTCTACAAATTTAATGATTCAAACCCGTTTAAAGCTTATGACAAATAGAATAAAGTTATTTTTTTTCAATAAAAAACATTCATTCATAATCATACATTTTCATTCATACAATGTATGTATGATTGAAAATGTATGATCAAGCCATCTATTAACAACTTTTTTAAATGAATTAGATATCAAAGTAGAGTAAAATTAATTGGAAAGTAACAGTTATTCGTAAAAATAAGGTACCGTCAATATATAAATACTTATTTACACATTATTATAATTACCATTCGGTGACTGATCATGGTATTTTCTTGTGAACATATTGGGCATACTAGTAATAAATAAGGAACACATTGGATTTAATTCATATTATATCCGAGCCTTATAATAATTTCAGTTGTCTGTAAGCGAGTTATTTTAACTTAATTTATGGAAGAAAGCTATTTTATGCGAAAGGGTAAATATGAATTAAAATATTCACAAAGAATCAATTATAATAGAAATGACTTTTATATAAAACTGTGTTTTTATTATGCGTGTCTTATTAACTGTCTTTTTTTTATGTGAAAAGTTGACAAGCGGACAGGCGGTTCACCTGATGTTAAGCGATCACCGCCGCCCATGGACATCTGCTACACCCGAGGGTTACAGATGCGTTGACAAACTTTTGAAAATTGGGCTCCAGCTACCTCACTCACCAGACGAAACGCGAAAGTATTTGTCATACTTCCACTTTAGGCCGGTCTTCTATGAGGTCGTGGTACTTAACCGGACGAGCCTGCCCATTAGTTCGCAACAGCTGTGGCTGCTGCGTGGCCCTATCACAGATGACTCTGATAATAGTAACTAGCGTTATGTGCCCACGTTGTGCATGTCAGAAATGTAGGCGTAATTGTTATAGTAACTAAAATTATCTCATTATTTACCGCATTTAAGGAGCCCATAATTATGTTCCCGGTCTTCAAGTCGAATACGAAACAACACGTTTCGAGGTGTGGTAGCCCCATTGTGAGCTGTAAAGTTCAAGTAAATACAAAAAAAGCAATTAATTTCTTTGAATATGTCAATGCATATAGTTTTTACTATTTATTAAGTTCACTTTAAAATTTGATTGATGAAGGCAAACAGATAAATCTAGAAGGAACCAAAGCAGAAAGTATTAGGGATTGGAATAAAAAATAAATACGATTTTCTTGAGTCCCGTGTATCCGTAGCCTAAAAGCGTCACTGAATTTAATTCTTAGCCATTATTTTAGTACATTTTCTCATGGACTATATAAAATTAGGATTTTAAGTTCTGAAGCAGTAGCTCAGAGAGAAATAATTGGCCTGAGAAAATTTAACAGTATATGATCTTACATATAATATAGCTTACTTACTTTATCGGGAGGGGGGACTTTTGAAGTGTTTTTGAAAGAGGAGTGTTTTTCCACTTACACGTATGTCTTATTACAGGGAGCTCACAACGGTACTGCGCGAGGATGTAAACTGGAACATCTCTGAAAGCCTGCCAAAGAGTAGGCAAATAGATACGAATTTGTCCATATTCCGATCGAATGTACGCCGTAGGTTCTGTTTCGAGTCAGATGCTTTTAGTGTTATTAAGAAATTACTTTAAATATTATGTTACAAAGAATATCTCAACTATCTTAATTCTTAGATTCAATTATCTTACACAGAATATCTATAGAGTCAAACTTCAGGAAACCTTTTCATACATATAGATTTCAATCATCAATTTGTTAAAATTTTTATTTTAAATCAATAATTTCGTATAATAAAGATAATTGTTTTTATGTCAAAGTGCCTATACGTGGCCCCAGAGACAAAGACGGCTATACGAAGTCAGACTTTGTGTTCTTGTCATTCTGACTTCAAACTAATCTTTGACGCGAGTGGCGTCGGGTAGTCTGGATTTTTAATCAATGAGCCTCCGAAATATTCGGTCAGCGTTTTTGAAAAAAGAAATATAATATTGGCATTTAATTTTTGTTTAAATTGGTGTACACTTTTGCATACATCTTCAAACAAAAATCTTTAAAACTGATGTTATATAATTATATATATATATATATATTTACTTACTTTACTTACAATTATATATATATATATATATATATATATATATATATATATATATATATATATATATATATAAAGCGTGCAGCAGAGCAAACGAGCATGCAGTTTAACTGTTATTGGTTTTCACCGTCGCCCATGGCAATTTATGGAGATTAAGTATGGTGTTCATAATTTTTACTGGCTCTTCTAATAAGGCCCTCTCTTAAGGGGTGGTTTGACGACGTAAGCGTAGTGGATAGTTGAACTGTCTCTGGCGCCAGAAGGTGCGGGTTCGATCCGTAAAAGTAAAGTAAAGTAACAGCCTATACATGTCACGCTGCTGGGCAAGGCCTCCTCTGTACAGAGGGTATCAGGCCATAGTCCACCACGCGTTCCCACTGCGGATCGACAGACTTTCCATTTCTTCAAAATATTTTTGTTATTATTTCGAAAATTTGTAGGTTTCCTCATGGTGTCTTACTTCACTGCTGAGCACGTGATGAGTCAGCACTTAAAGTTAACGATGTACCGCCACCGGGGATCGAACTCAGGTTTCTCGAGTAGCTCCGGCTGTAGGCACCGGCGCTATCCTTCGACACTGTAGATGGCCTAGCTCCTAAAGGACTTCTCGGCCCAATATGAAACTTGGTAAGGACCATCTATACACTATTAGCTAGTTTTAGAAGAAAAATAAAAAAAAATAAAGTGGTCCAACTTTGTGAAATTCAAGTTTGCACATGATTTTTTTCCACAAAAAATTATTTTTTTATATTCAAAAATGCAATTAGAAAGCTCATTAAATGAAGCATATAGTTGACTACTTCATTTATTTCCATTTATCTTTTCAATACCGGATAATGGGATTCGAAGTTGCCGGCAGGTATGCGCAACTTCGAATCCCATTTTTATAGCTCTCTAAATCGTAAACTACGGTTTATACTGTAAAAATATTTTGTATCTGGATTGAGGACACATATAGGTATAACATGGTCAAATATTACTAAAATCGGAAACATCAACTTTTTTGCCTGTCCGCTTCGCGTGCAATGCCCCCACGTCTAACGCTACTTGCCAATAATCATAAAAAAGTATTAACGTTAAAAAATCCATAACAAAAAATTATATTTTTCAAACTAATTAAGTAAAAAAGAAACAAAATTTGTAACACCTATACAACTACAGCTGACTGATTCATACATTCAGAGACTTTTTCATTCGTTGCCAAGCCTCTCCTTCTAACAGTATGTTTTGTCTCTTTTACATTCATTCAACCCATTCATATGCTTTTTGATCTTTACAAATGAAGTTTTCATTAAAGTTTTATATGTAAGGCTGTTCTAAAATTCTTTGTTTTGGAAAATTTGATAACTCGCTAAATATTGATGTTTAAAGAATGTAAATTTTTAATATAATTTTAAAAAGTTATCGTCTAAATCTCTAAATCGTAAGTGTGTTCATTTATTATCGCGCTGACAATTTAAGACACGATTGTGGGATTTTATTATACATACTTTGCCCCATGACGACTTATTTACTTTCTGAGTAAACACACGCTGTTACTTCTGAGTTTAGCAGAATGAATGCTAAACTGGATTCGTCTGTCAAACTGCTTCTTTGTGAGTATCTTATGTTCTTCATCTCTGAAAATAATTACTTATACAGGGATTGATAATCATAAAATATAAATAAAGAAATGATGTTTCTGGCATGAATTCTATGTTTCCGTAACGTTGTTATTGGCATTTTTATTAATATCGCTTGTCAATCTTTCAATTTATTTCCAAATATTTGCTTGTTTCAATCAATTTTTGAACCCATATTAAACTAGAATGGCTACATGTGCCGAAGAAAAGAGGAACGTTTGAGCAAGCGCGTTCTGGAGTGGAGACCCCGGCTAGTCTGGACAAGGGAAACAGAGTCGCGCCAAATGGAATAAAATTGGAGAGGCCTATGCCCAATGATGGGCGAACACACGCTGAAGAAGAATAAGAAGAAACTAGAATGGAAATCAAACAGCTGCATTTCAAGTTCTTCAATTTCCAACCAATCGAAATTGTGGCAACCTATTTAATATAATTAAACTTATACCTCTGGGACAATTTTCGTGATTAGATTTATATCACTTTGACACGACTGTGTTTACTTTTGTTAATTGATGTGGATAATTGAGGCGCAAAACTCGTGGAAAGGATATATCTTACCTAGCGAATGTGGATGTGTGTGAATATTTATTAGATATCTGAAGTAAATGATCAAGAAATGAAAAATCTTTATACAGATTAAATTATTATTTACAACTAAGTCAACCTATATATATATCAACGTTTACAAAATAGGTTTACGATTAGGCTTAGGTCGATTACCTTAAATCTACGTAGACTAAGGCGTCACGAACTCTCTTAGTTTGAACGACACGGATTTGAACACGGATTGCTTCGTTTTGCTCTGGGTTAGTATGACGAAGATGACGCTTATGGCTACGACCTGGTACGAGTTGACGACGCAGAAGAGGTTCACGAGCATCTTGTACTGGTAGTAGTAGAAGGAAAGTATGTCCGTAACGAGCACTTGGAGGCTTGTGATGCAGATGAGAATGAAGGCTACAATCGAGCTCTTCACCAGGTCTCTGGCGTTGCGGCCGGTGGAGCTACCCCTCTTGATTGCGACGTTGAAGATCTCGACGAAGATCAGGGCGTTAACCAGTGTTATCAGCAGCTTGAGGTGAGCGTACACTTGGTAATATATAGTGAAGCAACGGATCTTCAGGAGGAACGGGCACAGCGCGCCAAACGGCAGCGTCGCCGTCCATATCAGAGCCGCGGTCAACGCTAGCCGCGGCTTGTCCACGGCGAAGACCAGGACCACCTTGTTGTAAAGGTTCTTCGAAAAGACGAACATCCACAGCACCAGCACTAAGTCGGTCTGGATGTACGTCGCGAAAACGATATCCTTCAGCACGGTGCTGGTGAAGGGAACGCACATTATGTGGTACTCGCAGCCGGTGTTGAGGGTCCTGGCCAGCGTCAGCTGGAACAAGAGTTTCTCGTCGAATTTTCTGCACTTCGGTATTGCGACGAACAGCGCTACCTTCGACAGGAGACCGAGGAGCGATACAGATATCCCCAACAGCCAGAGTGCTTGATAGACCTCACCGAGCTCCCCGCTCGACGTGTTTTGCGTCGCGTTTTGAGTATCGTTCACCATTTGCGACGAGCTCACGGTCCGCGTCGGTGCGATAAATGAACCAATCCGCCGCCCAGCATGACATCTGGTCACCCCCGTGACGTTACAATCGCTTGCTGTCAATTCATCGCTGCTTCGAAGCAGCCAAGCGCTCTCGGTTGTAGCGGAACGGGCAATGGATGCCGATTATCAAGTATTATCCAACTACACCCCTAACGGCCATCAATAACAAGCTCGTATTACACCCATCTGGAATGATATATCGTGCACGTCTCTAATTTGCGGCCTCATAAAATGATAATGATGTTGTCCAGTTCGATTCTCGAGCCGCACCCAAATTGCTGTAATTAAGTTCAAAACACTTTCATTTAATAACTCTTATACGTATTCTGTACGAAAAAATAGGTAATAAATGCTAATACTATTGTCATAGATATTAAAATAATGTGCACAAATATAAGAAGCCACAGGTCATAGTTTAAAAGTTATTTATAGAATGTAATTTTTTTTAAGTGCTACGTCTAATTCGAGAATTCGTGAAAGATCTCTCATAAGCCTGTGGCCAGACTGGCTGGCTTATAAGAGGTTTGCGTCAATGGCCCTTACGTCCATGTAGCCCAAATAAGGTCATACTGAACGTTGATAATTCTTGAAAAGTATGTAATCTGTAATTTCTCGTTTTTATATTTCCTTCTTAATACCACTCGCGGTATAAAACGGAAGACAACTTTTTTTTTTATAATATATTATTCCATTTAATGAATTTGAAATTCAAATCTTTTCTACGTGCTTGAAAATAAAACTATTTTAAGGTAACTATGTGTGTAGTTAAATTTCCTAGACCTGATCTTTCCCATGCTACTCTAAGATAATCACCTATATAAATCATAATTATGTTTCTTAAAAGTGACTAGAATACGCCGGGAAAGCTTAATGTCCGGGCGCTCGCCTTTTTATTCAATAACTCGGGCAACCTGAGTTTAATCCCCGGTGCCGGCACCAATGAAATTGTTGTACAGAAACCTCAAGGAACAGCAGTAGCATAGATTTTTTGTCCATCAGTAAAAAAAACAGTTGAAATTCTTCTTGTATCTTGTATTAACTGATGTTTGTGCTTTCAGTCCAGAGACTATTAAAGCTTCATCTGACGCAGAACCGGTGGGCTAGCCAGAACCCACGGGTTTGGGCCCTCCGCGGTGGGTAGGGCCGCGCATGTGCTCATGCGTGCGTTTAACTACGGCATGTCATCTATGGGCCATCGAAGTAGCGGTGCGGACCGGGACCCCGATGGCCGTCGACTGTGTTTTTAGCTAATCGGTGGCTGGGGGCGGTGAGAACCGCCCTGGAACGCGGGTGTACCTTGTGTACGCGTTGTGTTGGTCTCGCCGTGCTCGGAGGCGAGGGCGAACTAATGTGTTTGTTGCTACACTAACTGTGTGTGTAGTGTTATCCGGCGGGACCCCCGACGGTGGGTCCGACGTACCTAAGTCCCCTTCCTCGACCGGGTCGATGAGGACGTTTCGCGGGCGACGCTTGTTGACGCTCGCGTTTGGATCGGGTTGGTAATTTGCTGTGTTGAAATTCACTGCATTTAAAGGAATACGATGGAAGAATTAATAAGCGCCTATGAGTTTTGTGCGGCAATATGCTTTTTTCCTAATATTTGCTGTTTAGTTTAAATTTACGGTGGTAGAGCCACGCAGCAGCCTCGGCTGTTTCACGAATGGGCAGACCCGTCCGGGTAATTACAACTACCTCACAGAAGACCGGCCTGAAGTATATATATATATATATATATATATATTGTCAACGCATCTGTAACCCTCGGGTGTAGCAGATGTCCATCGGCGGCGGTATTCACTTAACATCAGGTGAACCGTCTGCTCGCTTGTCAACTTTTCACATAAAAAAATAATGTGTCCGAAAATATTAGTGTAGTATTTCCTATTCAGGGTTCCGTAACCATACAGCAGACCCCAAAAGGCTCGATTCTCGTCATCGCTGATCAACAGTATCGCCCCCAAGGAAACGCCGAGGAAGGCCGAGGCCATTATGGCGATCTCGCCGATCTACATGTTGGTGCGAGCATGAATAGCAAACTTTCGTTTTAAAAAAAAGTTGAAAATTAAGATATTAAATGAAACTAGTTTACGTATATCGTCGCGTTTTTATTTCGATTTTGTAATTCCCGATGTTTCGAACCCTTTCTAGTATACAATCCCGTGACACGATAAAACCCGTAAACTAGTTTCATTTAATATGTATAATATTCACGTAAAATGAAGAAGTCAATATTGAAAATTACGGTAAATTTTGGCGCTTACAATGTCTTTCTATCGTGCTTACTCAGGACCTTGATTTACTATGATTATACACCTAATAGGGATTATTAGGACCTCAGTATCTGGTATTAATTTCAACTTCCTAAGTCCACGCGTTCCTGAGAAAATCTGTAGTGATTATTTACCAATTTTATTAAGGCATGGGTAGGCATGGAACCCTCGGCACATGAGTTCGATACGCACTTGAGCGATTTTTTTCATATAACATTCAATTTTTTTAGATATACCTACCTATCAAAAGCCAACATTAACGGTTAATGGTGTAAATTTTTGCTACTTAACAGTCAATCAATAATTTACTCCATTGTTTGTTGTTGCTAGGCTATAACATATTAAAATTATTCGTTTTATGACAAAAATTAAACTCACAATTGATGATAGCCAAGAATTAAACATCCCGACCTCAGCTTGATGCAGAAACAACAGTTCTTCAGTACCCACATCTTGGATCTGAAATGAAAAACATCCTCCCGTAATATGCCACGTATCACAGCAAATCGGTAATACGTCTTGATCGGATCAAGTCTTCCGCCTCATATCGGGTAGTCTCTCTTTTTTGAAACAGAATTTTCAGATGATACACAAGATTACAAGATTATTCATATATTAAAAAAAACCAGCCAAATGCAAGTCGGACTCGCGCACTATGGGTTCCGTACCATTATATATACAAACAGTAAAAAATCACGTCTGTTGTATGTTATGGGATTTTTTAGTATATGATATTATAGCGGCAACAGAAATACATCATCAGTGAAAATTTCAACTGTCTAACTACCACGGTTCATGAGATACAGCCTGGTGACAGACGGACAGACAGACAGAGAGGTCTTAGTAACAGTGTCCCGTTTTACCAATTGGGTACGGAACCCGAAAAAATATGCAACGTTTCACCGAATGACTTGTTAGCATATCACGGTCTTGTACCATTCCCGTGGACTCCATACGTGCAAACAAGCTTTGTATATCCAGTCGTCCAATACAAACATGCCCCAAATCGCCGAAACACACGTGTTACTGTAAAGTTATAATTATTTTTTAGTTAAAGGAAATAAACTTATCATCTCACAGCGTTTTCAAAAGCCACTTTGAATCATTTAAACGACCTGTTATGTTATTGTCAGTTACTTAGAGAAGAGTAAGTTTTTTAGTGCATACCGCGCCTGAGATGTCTGTGCACGTCTATAAGAGGATGTCATCATACCCTGTCTATAAGACGACTCGGACTCGGGATAGTATGTCGGACTCCCGAAAAAACATACCCAAAAATTATAACCAAGGCACTTCCGCGTTCAAGTTGGTTCTTCCCACCCCAGCCGATGACTGATATAGACAACGGCCATCGGTCCGTACCTAACCTTGACGGCCCGTAGTTGTCATTTCTCCCCTTTTTTTTCGAATCGGAATCTTCTTCGGAAAACCCGAAATCTTCGAATGATACCCATGTCACAGTTGTATGAAATAAATACTTACAATTTTCCATAGGTTAATTTTCTATAAATTATCTCCTTTACGAGTTTAATATTACATATACCAGCGACTTGAGAAATCGTATCAAATATTTAAAAAAAACATAAAGCAAGGTGCGACCAAACGTTTTTACCGCTACCAACGCTGTGGCACCAACATTTCAATACTTTCCTTACTCACAACTTTGGGAGAAACCCTTATAATAGCGTTTAAACGCACGCTGCATTTAAACACTGCTGTTATTTATATGTGTTATTCGTAATATCAGTCACTACACCATTCCGCTATTTAATGTGCGAAGTGTAAAGTGAACATTTTGTCAAAAATAGTGCCTAAATTTAAGCGTCAATTTTGGTTTAGATTCCGTCTGAAAATTGTGAAAGTATCTTTTTTGCATTTTTACTTAAAATAGCAAACAAAAAGCTATGAGGTAGATAATATGAGTCTATAAATAACGTAAAGTCATTAATATTTTTTTTTAGAATTCTAAATTCAAATAATAAAATAAAAGCCACTTAGGACATCATTACCCGTATATCTGGAAGACCCAAGATATTCAGGGAACCTATAAAACTTATCATAGGTAATATTCCCATAACATCAGACAATGAAATTGCAAATAGCTTCGAAAATTATTTTTCAGAAATTGCAGTTAATGTCACATGCACATTAAAATCCTCTCCCATAGCTGCAATTAATGTATTGCAAAATAATGTTACCTATTTTAGACACACGTTTAAATTTAATCACGTATTCGCCACGTCGTCGCCTTGAATTCTATTAATCTTAAAAGTACAGAGGATTTATGGGGCATGTCCATAAAATTAATGACCACAATAATGCCATATATTGCACCACATTTGGCTTACATTTTTAATAACTGTATAGATTCTGGAATATATCCAGATCTTATGAAATTTAGTAAAATAATCCCCGTCTTCAAAAGTGGGGATAAAAATGTTCCAGGTAACTATAGACCTATTTCCATATTGCCATCTCTAAGTAAAATATTTGAAAAACTAATTTTAAATCAACTATTAGTACATTTTAATATGAACAAAATTTTTCACGATGAGCAATATGAATTCACTAAAGGCAGGTCGACAACCGATGCGGGTGTCGCACTTGTTAAGCATATCTATAACGCCTGGGAAAGGTCACAAGATGCGTTAGGTGTCTTTTGTGACCTTTCAAAAGCCTTCGACTGCG